TCTCGTGTTTACAGAGAGAGCTAAGTATCTGATCTCTATAATTGTATGGACTACTGACCACTACTGATCGCCACTACCTGTGGTTGCAGGTAATTCACTTTTGTCTGGCTGATCAGTTTCAAAGCCAGAAATATCCAACGAAGTTGTAGACGCCTCTTTGTGTCCTTCTATAATCAATGGTTCACTGATAACCTATATCAAAACGTGGTTTATATAGTCTTATAAGATACATGTCGAATTCAAAACATTTTTATATGCTAGAAAATATCTTATTAAGCCATTACAAGGCACTGGCCAATATAATATATTCAAATTGTGCGCATATAACTTAAATTATTCAAAGTTTTATGCATGCATGAATAATAACAAAACCGCTGAGTGTATATAACAGCTTACCTCTCTTCGCTTGATGCGTTTCGTGTGCTCACGTTCTGGACTGGCCAAAATTTGATGTATGTCCAACGAAGGAAACACAGAAACTCCAATATCATCCCTTTTCAGTCTGGGGGTCTTGTACATAGGAACTGTAGAAGAACCGTACTCAAAACAGTCTTCGGTGAAGTGCTTTGAGCATACAGACGATGAACGTGTTGGCGTCCATTTGTTTCTTCTGCGTCAAATGAAGTTCACCCATATTTTCTTTCGTTTTGCTGCTACGGTCGAATTGTCACTCCAAAAAGGTATCTGATATAGAAATAAACCATTCTTTGTGTCTGCAGTGTTAGAACACCCATAAACAACGCATCGTTCGGGCATTTTTTTTGAGGAAAAACTCTCTCTATTTATGTCTTTGTATACAATAGTATAGTTGTTGTCGAAGATGGGTTTGTGGGATCCAGGCCCCTTGGTGATATTTTGGTCCCGCTACTTTTTTTCAAAAAATGGCCAAATTTGCCTGTTTGAGCCCTTGTATCTCCGAAACTAAAAGTCCAAGCAAAAAACTAATCTAGAACTTACTAACTAACTTTTTATGCTCTATCCGAATCAATAAAAACCCATTTTGGGTTTATAAGCACTTTAAGTTAACCGGTTAAGCTAATTGATCTTTGAACAACCGGCCCCAGAGATTAATTCAATTTTTGGAAAGAGTTTACAATATTATTATAGAAAAATTACTCATGTCACAACCTTCAATTTTCAGATAGAGTCAGATGAGAAACTGAGAGACAATGTTATTGAGGTGAAAATCAGTGGTGATGGGCAAAGATGACAAGACTGACAAATTTCATCATTGTCAGCTTTTCAATACTGAATGCTGAAGATACTGTGATGTCATCAAAGGGTATTTTCCCATAATTGTGTTTCTCTTTAATAGTTTCAGTTTATATAGTCAAATACTAGTGTAAATTAACCCTTTAATTAAGTGGCAATATGCCCTATGCACTCTACTTTATGTTTTTACTCTGTCTAATGCCAGATGATTTTACTTGTCAAGGGAAGAGTGTTCCCACTCAATGGGTTAATAAATAAACCAGCTATATCAGCTTTATCATAAATACTGCTTTCTCTGTATTTCCTCATATAGGGAATCATACAGTTGCTGTTGTGAAGGGTCATGAGGACTATGATATTTTAAGAAGGTGATGCTCAAAGATTTTTGATGACATCAATAAGTTAGTATGAGCAGGACAAATCAAAATCAAGGATGAAAATGTGCCCATTGAGATAGTTGTTGGAGGCGATTACAAGGTTATATTTGCATCATAATTAGGTACCATGACACAGTACTGATCTGAATGCAGTATGCATCATAAAGCAAGCAGTATATCCAATCATTGGATTGGCCAGTTTGCTTATGCCTGTGAGTACTGTGTCAGCATTACATGGTATGAAACTAGCCTTACAAATTGTAGCAATGGTATTTATCATCATGCATGTGGCCTTGTTATAATATTTGTATGTATTTCTCTTTTAGTTTTTGTTGTTGATACTTGGTTTTAAGGGAGCCACACCTCAGATTATGCTTGTATTTGGTGTAAAATACACAAGTTATTAGGGTTACCGATTAACTGAATTAAGTGTAACCAGGTGTTTAAGTCATTGTTCAGCAATATTGATCAGCATAATCAATTTGTGATACGGATTTAAATTTTAGATGGATATGTCTAAACCAATGGATTTTTGGGAAACACATGACTATCTCTCACTAAAGGACGTCCAAGATTGTGCCCTAGAGAATAAATTTTCATGCCAACACAAGCCATTGCTGGAGGTTAAACTTCAAAATGTAGTATTGGATGAACTGCATTACAGGTGATCTTAGTTTGTTTAACATACCTATTGCAATATATATACAAGTATGTTTTGGTTTGCAAAATGCTATAGAGTGCTCAATATCATATAGATATAGAGCAAGTATAGTTTGATATACTTCAAAAGGTTGCCACAGACTACTATCAGGTCCATCCAACAGAAATCATCAGGTGACTCCTCGGAATCATCAGGTGATTCCTCTCACATGAAACAGCTGTACTAGCAACCCTTTGAGGTATATCAAAACTTTTATTAGTATTATATATAATCTTTTATATAATAACCTTAAGAATTTATGTGATTTCATTGGTCGAGAACCATGATCTATTGGAGGACAGACGCACGGAATTACATCATAAGTTTTTAAAATGTCAAACATATTTGAAAATTCCACTGAATTTATACAAATTGAATGAATTCATGCAATTAAATCTATAAACAACAATAAATACCTTCGATAAATGTGCAAAAATCACTCATAAAAGCTATCTATCAACTCGGCAAATCTCAACTCAGTCATTCAGCTGCGACTTCAAAATCCAATCTGGTCTTCGAAAACAAATATTATTTCGGTCATTTGACCCTGTCGATGTCCCGTCTTCCAGCTGGTTTCTTTCACTTTGTGCAACATAGGCAATGTAATCTATTTGTTAAATATATATATATAAATATTTCAACAACCTCTACAGCTGTGGATTTTCCTTATGGCCTTGTATACAGGGTCACATCATTCCATTCTTTTGTGTCAAAGGGGGGTCCAAGTGATGTGGTGTGCTGTCTGAGTCACTAAAGATGACATCAGTGTCCCAACCTCTCATGCCAGGAATCTCCTCACATGCAGAGGCCTTAGGGTTTGAGAAATTCTGCCCTTTTTTATCTGTTTTCTTTTCCCATCTAGTCTGGCCCTTTTCGAATTTGCTTTGTCCAGGGAAAGTTTAGAAAAATCTCTTTCCAACTTTCGCTTCTTGGTTCTAGATTCCTTTTTTACTTTGGCTTCTTGGTGCTTGTCTTTAAATACTTTTTGCTGATCTAATTCAAATATAAAATGGCTCATATT